TGATTGTTTGAATAGTGATAGGCCTAGATATATTTTAGATACAGGTTATGCAATATGATTAATTGAAACTCTTTGGTAGATGCTGTTAGCACAGAAACACTGAAGATATCATCATCTCCAGAATTGGAATTTAAGAACTATTGGACAAAACAATAAACACTAATTTTGGATCTGTGATTATTTTAATACTATTTTGTTTTATTACTTGTCCATTTGTATAAAATATTTAAACAGAAAGGTATAAGATAAGACAGAATGTTGAGCAGTTTTCTGAGACACAAGAAATACCTGTGTATGAGCAAATTAACGAATTAAACATGTTGAGAAATATGCATGAGGAATGGAGAAAGTCAGAGAGAAAGTTAAAGTTGACAAATGAATTTGTGTGAATTCTAGTTTATTTATAAAACCAAAATGCGCATAATGATAAATAAAGAAAGGTAAAGGTTTATTGATAAAAAAGCTGAAAAGGCTTCAGAGTAACAGAACTTTTTTAATCAAGCTACTTTTAGGGGGTTTTTTTTGCATTGTTTTAACTTGAATTGAAAAAAAAGTTGGGTTTTTTTTTAAATAATGCATTTAATTTGCCTTTCTAGTAACTAACAATTATTGATACAGAACATAATAACAATAAATTACAGATATTACCTAGTTTCCCCAGAGATGTACAAATTTTAGATGTACAAAATTAAATAGATACTTTTTTGAAGTTAAATTAGGAGTTTGTAAAGGAAAGGCTTAAATTAACTTCCTTTAAAAACAATTCTAGAGAGTGATGCAAAGGGAAGCATATCTAAAAAAAAAATTCTAAAAATCTCCAATAATCTGTCTGACACTACTTTTTGACCTCTGGAATCACCGATTGGAACGGAAAAAATATGTTAATCGAAGTGTCTTTGATAATATTTTTAGACGTACATGTAAGATTCTTCACTCCAATTTAAGAGTTAAATTAGTGACATGTAATTGGCTCAAATTATTAGACTAAATTTATCTTTTTGTACTTCCACATGTTGAAATTGCGTTGAAATTTTTCTAATCATTTTTGTCCCAAATGAAAGCAAAAACTTTGAAATTCAAAACATACTATGTAACCATTTGTACCTCATTCCTCAATGTATAGATGCTGAAAGCAGAATTTTAACAAATTAGAGAAAGTGCATGAACGTAGAAAAGATTTAATTATTTAACAGGTGGTATCATTTGGCGTTTTTTGTTTTGTTTCTTTGGTGGGGGAGGGTTATATGTTTAATCTATAATGGAATAAATTCCTAAACAACTTTATTTTTTTTTAACTTTAACTTTAACTTTATGTTAACCATACGGTGTTGATGTGACAGTGGCTAAAATTTAATTTAAAATTATAAATATAAGTAAATCAAAGCTTGTAAACAACTTCAAAAATTAGAATATGTTACAGAATTGCTTTACTATAACTTAACTAAAAGAAAAAAGTGTGTATAATATTGATTTTCAGTTCTAAATGATCCTTATTAAATAATTATACGTATTCAAGATCAAAAGTCCATAAAACAATACAAAACAGGAACAGAGCAAACACAGTTTGCTGTGGATAAGTGAGCATCCCATGCCGACCGGTCACATCCGCCGAGTGCTCCTTGTCATGATCGGGATATGATGGAAATTTTATTAATTTGTATTTGCTGACAAGGTCATCGTATCGACCATAGAATTTACAAAATGATGACGTTAAACGAGACTGCTGATATTCTTGTTTCATCAACTTGTTTGTCAATAATTTACCTCGTTTTAGAAATTGTTCATATGTACAGCATGCTCTAGGGTATCGAATCAACTGATATACATAAACTCAGTATGCAGGTGATGCAGGTATATAACTTAAAAGAAATGTCACTTTTTTAAAATATTGTTTGTTATTTCAATATGCTTCATCCATATATTCTTTGTATTTTATTGAGTAAGAAATACAAAAAAGTAAAAATTATTTTAATGTTTGAGATTATGTTTACATTTACATCTACATCTACATAATGCAGAGTTCCATCAAACTTGATGATTATTATGTTTAGATGTATGAATTATGTATAATTAATTTTTAAATCGTGGAAAATTTACACCGTATATCTTTAATAAAAAAAAAATCACACTTATATCCTGATAAATAGAAAAACGCTCCGTTTCCCATGAATCTCTTTCTCTGTGGTATATATACAGTATTAGCTATACATGTGAAACTCTTTTCAGAAACATAATGAAAAAACAAAGTAATCGATTTCAGAACTCACTGCATTTCCATGTATTTACATTTGCAAAAGTTTTCCTTTATATAACACTACTGAAGGCAAGCGTTTTTATAACTGTATAAATACAGGTATGGGGTCAAGAGGTCATAGATGTGCGTTTGGATAAACATTCGACGTAATTTCTCTGTGACGTCATAAAGGGTCGACGCGCGTTTAGTGGATTACATACATGCCGTTGGGTTTGAAAAATTAACGCATTTCACACGTTAAAAGTAACAATCAGGCAAATATAAAGTATGAATAAGTCACAAATGTAAATATAAGTAATAAGGTATCATTTTTTGAGTTTTATTGAGATGTAAAACGGGTTGGCACATGATCAAATCTTCCATAAAGCCCTTCGGGCTTTGATCACGTGACCAACCCGTTTTACATTTCAATAAAACTCAAAAAATGATACCTTATTTCTTAAATAATAGAATGATGATATATAATGCATGTGACACTTAACACGCTTTTATTTAATGTTATGCATGTGACGTCAAAGAGCAGTTTGAGCAGTTCTGTCATTTGAAAAGGTGCACAGACATATTGAACTAATTGTTGTTAATTGGTTAGGTTTGGTATATGAATAATTTTATGCATGTTTTTTCAAGCTTAAATCAAAATTTAATTTTATGACTGTGTATGTTCAACTGGCACTATATTTTGATGATGCACGTTTTACAGACCCTGATACTGCTTTGATACGTTACATATTTTCTCGTTCATTGAAGGTACTCACATATACATGCCTTTTTAATGCACGCAGCACTTACATAGCTTTAATTAATCAAGCAAAGGAAAAATGAATAAAATCAGATGGTATTTTAAATAGTCATAATGTGTAACAGCTAATGGGATATGCATATTTAACTTAACTTTGTTAATGAGTTAATTAGTTTGACTCGAGATCTTGAATAATTCATAAAACTTTCTTAAATAATGTATTCCCTTATAACACAAAGACAATTCAAATGTACATTAAATGCATTGAAAAGTTAGTGAAGAGGGTTAATTGTCTCATGTCAATGTTCGTGAAACATTTCTTCAAAAGGAATACTTCATTCTAGAATTCCTTTTGAAGATCGTTATAGAATGCCATTATTATTGACAAGAAGCATTAAATGATCTGCAGGGAAAGACGTATTGACATATAATTTCATTACTTTGAAATCATTTTTTAATATACTTGGAATTAAACTGTACGCATAATAATTTGGGATGTTTCCATACCCCTTATATATTTTTTCTCTTTATTCGGTAAGACATACTAGCAATAAATATATAAATTTTTCTATGAATATGCGATAACATGCGATAACATAAAAAGACCATGTTGATTCTGTCATAAGAGAATCAACACTGCCGGCAGATGTAGAGAACAATACCAGTGAAATATGGTGAATAAAAAGAGTCTTATCCTGATGCTTATGACGTAAATATAACTGAGTTGTGGAATTAAAAAAAAATGATTTACAAGAAAACGCCAAAAATGTAATTTTTTTTACATTTATAAAGAGATCAGTTATTTCAAAAATTTGTGTATGATTCTTAAGCCCCCAAAATACAGAAGTTATGTTGCATCAACGCAATTGCAGTTCAGATACGCTAATCGTAATGTCGCAGGACAATCTTATTGAAAATAAAGTACTATAAGTGTAAAAAAAAATTATAGACCTTGAAAACTGCTCTCGAGATGAAAAAATTACTGCAAATTACAATTTATACTTCCCCCCAAACGGTGGCATCTATCACTAGTTTCCGATACAATTTTCATTTTCAATAAATGTAAAGCATGTCAATATCTGGAGGAAGTTATTTATTTTGTTTCAATTTTAATGCGTGTATAGCATATTAAAAAAATCACCTCAAACATATATAAAAAAAAAACTTAGAAATGGTGGTAACCATGGCAACCATAACTTTCTTATAATCCTGATGATCATGGCTGATACTTTCATATCATGGTATTTAAGGTAGCTAAGGACACCTGACCCCAAAAAAACCTGTCAATAGATTTTGTTGAAATTTTCACACGGCGTAAAGGGATGTGTAATGAACACTTAGTCGAAATATGAAAATGGCATTGTGGGTAAATTACGGAACCAGGGGGTAATGAGTTACCTCCCCTTTCCAACCACTCCAAAAATTATAATACAAGATAATTATTACCCATAAAAATTTATTGTGCAATATGCATTCAATATCAAAAATTATTTTTAAACAATATTGATACTATTAACTTATTTTAACAATGGATTGTCTGAACATATATAAATTAAGAGAATAATCCATGTAGAACATTTGAAATTCGACAAATTTGGCCATTTTCATGCACACAAATTTGACACTTTTTAAATTCTAAAAAAAAATCTGTCCAATAGAATTTTTATTTTTTATCATTATATGAAAGATCTGTCTAATACTATTCTTCACTCAAAAAATCTTGCAATTGGTCACATTGAGGGCTAATAAAGGTACTAGATGATCCACAACTACCCCCCCCCTTTTGGTTTCCCATCGTAAAGGTAAGAAAAATGATTAAAGTGGCTTTTAAAAAAAAATGCATAGCAAATTAGGGAAAAACTGAAGAAATAAATCAGAAGTAAAAATCAAATGCTAATAAATGACTAAAGAAAATATTTTTATGAAATTAGAAATAGTATTTATAATACATTGAAGATGTAGAGTAATAACTTGAAGAGTTACCTCCCCTCTCCCCTCACAATAAAACATGTAATTAAACCAGTATTGAAATAATCCATAAAAAATTCCTCAACAAAATTAAAATATGAATTTATATTTCAACAATAAATACTTGAAAAAGAAATGTAATTAAAAAAAAACACATTTAAAAATTCTTCAATATGATCCCTTTTGATTAATTTCATGCAAACAAATTCTATGATTTCTTATAGATTTCTAAAAAATATATTGTATGACAAAAATGTCCAATACTATTTCTCACTCAGAAATCCCAGCTGCATTAAGAGGTAATTAACTATTAAGTTACAGAATGGTCTAATACACCCCCCTCCTTTTATACATCTGATATTGTTTTCATTGCAATGTCAAAAATCCCCCTAATTATTAACATGTCAAATGCATTCTACTTTGTCCGAAAATACATTTTGGTCATACAGAATAAAGAAATCCATCTGACATAGCACTGCAAAATTCACAAATTTCTATTTCATAGAATAAGAATATCATTGAAGAAATCAGTACTCTTTCAAATTGAACAAAAGTCATTTTATTCCATGAACAGGTAGGATAATAACATTTAATAGGCCATTCCAAGTCTTTTTTCTGTTTTGGCATCCAATTGCACCTTGGTTTTTGACACCTACATGTATCAGAAAATCAAACAAAATCAGAAGCCCTACACTTGATTATTTTTGTTGAAATCTTTTGAGTTCTGTCAATTTCTCAAATGTGTACAATAAATATGTCATAGGTGGTGTACTTTAGGCATTTATTATTTTGATTTTGCTGAAGAATAGATATTTCTATCAGAAAAGCAGATTGATGAAATAAAATCCTCAGATTTACACTATTATTATAACTATAGACATGATACAAGTACATTCTGTGTTTTATTTTTTGGTTTATATTTCTTTTTTACAAATAGGTACATGTAGTTAGGTTTTTGATTGAAGGTTGGACGGTAAACAGAGAAAAAAAACTTGAAATGGGCTTAGTCTAAAACCATCCTTGACATGAGACATAAAATTACATAAACTATACCTAAAATTAAAAACAAAATGACAATGCTGCACTGGGACATAACACTTGATGCAGGACATTAAATATAAAAAGTTCAAAAAAAAAAATTCACATGAATATCTGGAGCAGCTTATTAAAAAGCCTGAAAAACACTCACAGTGTAGATTATGCATGATAATAGAGAATATCTGTTGATTGGCCTATTACTGAACCCGACATCACAAGTCGACATTAAATTATGCATACATTTTTTTAAAAAGAATAATCTACACTCTACAGCAGTGTAATACTGCACCTGACATATACAAAACATAACATAGTGCATTAAACATGAAAGGGTGCATGTGGAGTGATCTATTACCACACCAGACATACAACAGGGTAGATTAAATATGAAAAATGGAGAAAAAAAAAAATCTATATGTGGAGTGATTAGTTTCCACTTTAAATGTAACACTCAAACAAGAGATGCATGTACCCCGTAATATAAAGCTGACAAAGAAAAGTAGTCTATTGACTATGTTAGTTTATTTTCAACAAGCGATTCTTGTCCTGCTCTTTTTTGGAAGGGATGGAAAGTCATTCTGCCGTCGAGCTGCAGTAGTTGAATCATCATCAGCATGAATGGTCTGGACTTCATATTCACGTATCTTGTACTCTGTACTGATGAATCTATCTGTAATTTATAAAATTTAACAAATACAATATTATCCGCAGTTGACGTCAAAATATATTTCCCACGACGTCTATATCCTATACAGTGTATATAGAATTTCGGTGAAAAACATGTATATGTAACAGGAAAAGAGAAAATGTATGGATGGACGGGGAATCAAACCCGAGACCCCTGCATCACAAGTCATGTGCTATATCGACTGAGCTACCCTGGACAATATATATCCATGGCCCAAACCATTACATATTACATACATGTATATATAAAATGTATGAAATGCATGTAAAGTATATTTTATTGTTGATAGTTTCATGATAATTATGATAAATTGGTAGCAGACAGATACTAGACCAATTATTTTGATGGTCCAGTGCTTTTCCGTTGCGTTGTATCGAAGAAAAACATTTGATTTTTAGAGTCAAGGACTTTTGATAACTGCACTTGTTTTAATTAATCGTCATTTTTTTTTTCCTATCAAATCTAATTATTTTATTTAAACATACCCCGTTGTTCGTGAAATAAAGTCATAACACTGATTATTAATATCGTTTACATGTAGCTATGCTATGGTTTAAATACAGATATAGACAAGGGAGGTAACTTTTATTATGTACGAATTCCGCGAATTCAAGAAACCGCGATCGTGTCAGATGAGAGAAAAACGTGAAAATTACAACACGTGAAATTAATCCCCTATACAGTATGTCTGTGAAAAACCCTATAGGTTTACATCATACATCTTTAAAACACGGTCAAAAATTATTTTAACAGATATTAACACGTCAAGTACCATGTGATATCAGCTAAATAAGTACACTGTCAGTAGAACTAGATAAATTATAAAAAAGTTGTATCAAAATTTATAGACAACATCAATCTTTTCACTATAGTGAGGCAGCTGTGTCTGTTTTTATGTTATCAGCTCCCTGTGTTGAGCCTCAATAGTCTTCTTACTCTCCTTATGAGGGCCTCCACAAAGATGTATTTGGTCCTGGACTTACAGAATTCCTACACAAAGAAACAAACAAACAATGGTTTATATAAATCCAAAGATATTTTCATAGTGAGGTGATGAATTAAGCATAGCTCAATAAAAATAAATTGTATTTCTTATTTTAAAGTATCCAGTGTGATATATAAATGCCATCTGGATCAAGTAAAAATGTACCCTATTATGGAATAAAATATGCTAATTCCAATGTTCCATATGATAAGTGAATTTCCATTAATCATTAATCTCGCAAAACAATGGACCAAGCAGGCTGGAGGAAATGGATGGATGAAACACTTTATAATTATGGCTGTGGAAGAGTCGAGTTAAATGTGATAGCTGAACCACTTTTACTGTGGAGATTGGGAAGGGGTACATATATTTGAACTATATCTTAAGATGGGCCGGGGGAAAGATTTGGCTGAAACACTTGGCTGTGGGTGAAAAGTGAATTGCTTTAGTGGTTGTGCTGGAATGGGGGGGGGGGGGGGGGTTGAACCATTTTTTTTTTAAATGTTGACTGTGGGAGAGGTATGGACTAATTTTTTTCTTTCATTTTTGTACATTTTTTTCTCAAGGTTTCTCCCTTTATTTGGAATCATTATCTGTCATTTCACTACCTGGTCAATCTTTTGTATCTTTTTGAGGAGCGAGTCGTGAATGGCTGAGTTTGTTGTCTGTTTCAGTGTCTCTATATCTTCACTGGTCACCCCCATCATAACCTGTCTGTCTTCGTCTAGTAAAGAGTCAGCATCAGATTCTCCCAATGCATGATGAATGAGAAATCCCCGTCAAATCTGTAAACATTTAAAGATTAATTAACTTATCAGATATCATTATACCTAGAAGTACATTACACACTGAGATAAAAAAAATTATTGTATGCAACATTATTTTCATTCGGGTTTATTTTTGCCCACTAACTTTTTCAAACAATTTTGCCTTATTTTAAATTCACCAAAACTTCTCACCCAAACTCCGTCATTCTCACACTTGTGAAGAAGGTATAAAAAATTGAATGTAAAATTTTCCCTGCATACAATACCCTCGAATCATGAGTTTTCGTGGCATTACGGTTAATTTGTAATAAAGTGCTTCAAGACTCAATAATTGAGATGTTTGCTATTTACCACATATACAAACAATAATTCTCCTTATTTTAAAATGATTTTAACTCACATATCATTTGTTATTTGTTCAGAAGGTCATTGAATTCTTGCATAGTTGCTCTTTCGATTTTTTTGATGACGTCATATGTTTTCGTGGTATTTATAAAACAAGTAAACTACGGAAATCTAGTCGGGCAAAATCCTTATAAAATTTACAGTGTCAAAAATACTAGTTAATTGACAAAATGATTACATTATTCACATGGAAATTTATTTGTTATTAATTAAGACCACATCTATCTAGGCGTGCCTAAGCTACATTGCTAAATAATGTAAAAAATTTCTCTTTCTCAAGGGTGGCCTAGAAGTAATTACGTAAAGCTTTATTTTAACGTTTCATGTTTTAAGATATAAATTCCATGTATACTTAAAGAAACTAAATGTTTAATTCAATTAATTATCAATGGCATAATATTTTTTTTAGCTTATAACTTTTTAACACCCCCGATATTTTCTTTGAAAATTATATAAAAAATGACGTTACTAGATCACCGTAGAAAAAATATCAAACTTGGGAAATTCCAAAATTATTGTCACATGACCGGAAGCTGTATGGATAGTTAACAGACGATGATATGCAGGATATGCAGGATCGCCGGCAGTTTGTTAGTTTGATATTCTAGTTCAAAACACGACGAATAAGCGTATATTACGCAAATTGTCAAATATATGAACTATGCATAACTCACTCGCTATAATTTATTTTGGCAATGGCAAAAAGGTTTAACATTTGGTCATAAAACATGCACAGGGTTCCCCTTTATTAATAGCAAATATGACGTCATTCCGATCTCGCATTGTGGGATTATTCCTAAAAATAAAAAATACCACGAAAACGTATATACCACGAAAACACATGACGGGACGCTACTAATATTTCACTGAACAAAAAAAGATGAAAAGGTATAAACTCGTCTGCAGGAGAAACTAAGAACTTGTCTAACCTTGAAGCCTCCTGAGTTGAGTGAGTCTGCGAGTCTGACTCTGGTATGTAGATGTCTGCTGATTGACAGGAACGCAGTGAATGAGATAATACTCCAGGTGGCGTCACAACATAAACAGACAGTTCTCCAAGATGTCTGCAGCACAGTCAAGGGAGATTACTGATATATGTTTGTTCTAGCTTTTCAATGCTTCTACCTTATCCTCATGTTTGAAAATGCACAGAACTTGCCAACATTTAAAAAACAAGAGGCCCATGGGCCTTATAGGTAACCTGAGCATCATGCAACAACTTTTCAGTGATTGAATTTGATTCATGTTTTAAGCCAGATGCTATGGCATTCACAATTTTGAAAAAGGCACCATTGATCATCATAACTATACACTTAACAATTGCTTAGTTTGGTTACTTAATACCCATAGACAGGATAGCGGAACAAAAAATGCATTTCATCTAATCAGTAATATTCAGCAATAATTCAGTAGTGCCCCCACCACACATGAACCCCAGCTAGACCCTAGGTCCACACATTGCACAATTTTTGAAAAGGCACCCTTGCTTTTCAAAACTATTTGATAAATACCAAGGAGCACATTTCAAACAATTCATTCATTTTCAGTATATAAGTACAGCCCCCACCCCTCTGTGGTACCCCTGACCCTGGGGCCTTGAAATTCACAATTCTGGAAGATTAGGGTCCTTGCTAATCATAACCATATAGGTAGTTCATCTGCTTAATACCCAGGGGCAGAGAAGAAATTTTTCAAAGATTTAATGTATTTTCACTAAATAATTAATAGAGCCCTGCCCTAACACCAAAACCCCTGATCCTGGGGCCATAAAATTTACAAATTTGGTAGAGGCAATCTTGCTCATCATAACTATGTACTTAGTTAGTTTATTTAATACCCAGAATCAAAGAAGATTTTCAAAGAAATAATGCATTTTCACCATATACTCATTTTAGACCCACCCTAGCACTAAAACCCCTGACCCCAGGGCCATGAATTTCACAATTTTGGTAGAGGACTCAATGCTGATTACAATCATGCTAACAGCTAGTTTGACTGCTTGATGCCCAGGAGTAGAGAAAAAGATTTTTAAAGATTGCATTAATTTTAGTGGTTTTGGCCCCACCCCTCAGGCCCCAGGGATAGGGATCATGAAATTCATAATTTTTGTTCCCCTTCACCCATAGATGCTTTATGTGAAATTTGGTTGAAATTGGTATAGTGGTTGCAGAGAAGAAGTGAAAATGTTCAAATGTTAACCCACAACGCACGACGAAAACGGATAGCAATAGGTCACCCAAGTTTACTCATATGACCTAAAAATTGCTTCAACTTCAAACAAAAAACTTTTATGCCTATTTTATAATATCACTCTTCATTCATAAAGGATACAAGCAAAGTAATGCAGTTGTTCCTCTTTGTATTGCACGATTTTGGTGAGGCGAGTTTTAGCGAGTTTCTGTCTCTGATGAGATGTAAGCTTCTCTTCTACAACAGAAAACTAAATAAACAGATAAATACATAATTTATAAAAATAAATATACATAAAAGACATATATTCTAAATGACTAAAAATAACAACCTTCTCCGATTTCATATCTTTTGTCGTATGTTATGCTTCGATTTTATTATCTCTGTACCTGTTTGAGGTCGTCTGTACTAAGATCAGCCAGACTCTGTAGTTTACGGAGGTGTTGTTTGTGTCTTTACCTGTTTGAGGTCATCTGTACTAAGATCAGCCAGACTCTGTAGTTTAAGGAGATGTTGTTTGTGACTCTCGTACACAGACATAAAGTGGTTAGCACACTGACGGAGTTGGTACACAACCACCCCTAGGCTGGGGGCCTGGACTGTACTGCTACTCAGGAATGAAGTGTCTGCAACAAGATATGTTACAAATACATTTAAAACAAAAAATGTTTAAAAATAAAGACCTCTACCCTTTTATATAATAATATACAATTATTGCTGTTTTTAGGTCAATACGATGATTTAGCCACCTTCGAAGTACAATATTTGGGCTCAGTGAATATTGTACTCCTCAGGTGTCTAAATCATCATATTAACCGCAAAAAATAGCAATATCTATCTTATCACATGATTATAAATGATAGCAAACTCCTTGCTTTAATTGAAATTAAAGGTTTAACAAGAAATTTCAACAAGAACACATTGTTACAGAAAAAATGGAACATGTCAATAATTAATTCATTATATTGACCTGCAATAATTCCTGATATTGACCTGGAGGGTCACATGATTTATTATATTGACCTGCAATAATTTCTTATATTGAAAGGTGACGTGCAGGTCAATATAGCGTATTATTTTTCTAACATTGTTGGATCTCAGCCAATCAGAGAGAAGGAAATTATTCAATATAACAGGTACTGACCTCTGACCTCTAGTGCTATAAATAACTTACCGTCAGTACTTCCTAGGTCTCTAGCAAGGGCTTCATCCAGACTCGGTCGGAACAGAACTCGAGGAAACTGTGAGGTTGGTCCTATAAATTGAAAATTAAATTCCACACTACCATATTCACAAATGTCAAAGTCCTGTAGAGGTGTAACGTTATATACCAAGAAATCTGTCAATTTCAATTTCAAGTCTTTATATAGCTTAAATTTACATTCAATACATGTATAAATTTAAAAAAAAAATCATCTGAATCTTTTGCTTTCCTACTTATGTAGCAAATAAATCCCAACCTGGTTTTCAATCTCTTTTATTCATTTTTATTTCATATCATTTGTCCAAGTTTCTTTTCATTTCTTGAAATCAGTTTCATTTTGTCCTTGGTTGTTTTTATTTCTGTTTCCTTATCAATTTTCATTTACAAGGAAGCTAAGTAAGCTTCTTCTATTGTTTCAGTGAGACCATGTACATCAGGGGGCACTGGTGCTTGTATTAGAGCCAAGTGCTTTCCTTCTATGAGGAAAAATGATCCCCCACATAATTTACAAATTGCCCTAAAAGCTGCAGCTTGTACCGATGTTGAAAGTTCAAACTGCACATGTAAAGCAGGCTCTGGACATTGCAGCCATATTTTAGGCCTTATGTACACATTAGCCCACTATCAAAAGCTTGATTTAAAGACAGTGCCACGTGTCAAGTCTAAGACATCAATGCCTCAAACATGGCATATACCCCAACGGTTAGAGGGTATCCGTCCTGAAGCAGTTGAGGATGTACATATTCAGAAAACTACCTGTAAAAAAATAAAAAGAACAGATGGTGTGAAATCAAAATTTTATTGTCCAATACAGCAACCTATACCATATCAGAACATTTTGGAATCTCTCAATCAAAATATAATGGCAACAAATGCTCAATTTAAAACCATACTGCCACCTTCCTCCAAAATTAATTCCATTGAGACCATTGAATCAAAAGTTGGACCAGTGCCTAAAGGTTCCCTTCTTTCTTATCCGCAAAAGAAAATTGACGAAAATAACGATACAATTATAAACAATCCTGCGTTTCCTACTTTTCCTGGATATAATTTACCTATTCTTGATCAAACTTTTAATACAGCTCTAAATCTGAGTGAACAAAATTTTTATGATGGACTTGCCGTGTCAAAAACCGATTCTGACGACATCGAACAAAATACAATTGAACAGTCTAAAAATCCCTACTGGAATTCAGCAAGAAAACACAGAATTACTTCATCTAAAGAACTATATGCGGTATATTGCATATATTTGCCCCCGCAAAAGTCAAATTTTGAAAACTTCCTGAAATGTGCTGTATTCAATAAATTTTATGAGAAATATAAATTAACAGAAAATTTTATAGTGTCAAAGCAGTTTATACACAATTTTTGCTTTTATGACGTCACAATCTAGTCCGATTTTATATCCTTTTTCAGAAAGAGGACACAATGGACAAAATTTCAACAATTTTAGCTTTAAAATTTATAGAGCGCAAGTTTGTTCAGGAACAATATTGACATATTTCATTGATATTATCATGACTACACATTATATCAAAATATTGATCCTGAATACACATGCGCTCGGTGACTTTTTACTCAAAATATCGACGAAATATGTACATTTTTCTGTAAAATTCATAAAAAACTGAAATTTACGTCATGTTTGTGACGTCATTACGTACATATGGCGTCATTACTTATGAAAATATTCAGTGCTTTGAAATCAGCATATACTCCCCTGATTAAGAACTTAATTAAAATAACTCCATCAAAGTTTGATTTGGGGGGCAAATATTGGTTATTACCGAATAAAGTTCTTTAAAAGAGTTTGTTCACGGAAAAAAGATTTCGAAACTTTGGCTGACGCATTATTAAAAAGTAACAAAATTCAAACAGCAGCAATGAAATTTGGACTTGAACACGAACAGGAGGCAGCAGAAGCATACGCCACTATAACAGGAAATAATGTGTTTAAAGCACTGGCTTAGTCATCAATCCCTCATGTTTTTATCTGGGAACTTCTCCTGACAGGAAAGTCATAGACCCCAACTCTGTTCCTATGTATGGACTCTTAGAAATTAAATGTCCAAATGCAGTCTCATTCTATCACAAATTTAAAATATTTAACTCTTGTGAATAACAGCTACAAACTAAAATCCTCCCATGAATATTATTATCAGATAATGGGTCAAATGGGTTTGACTGGTGCTTTGTGGTGCGATTTGTTCATTTGGTGTAAAGATGACTACCATCTGGAAAGAATTAACTTTGCACCAGGAAGGTGGCAGGAAATAAAACAAAAACTTGACATATTTTACTTCAATTACTTTTTACAAAAATGTGTTCGATACTGAAAATAACATCTATGATGGATCATAAAAAAAAAACCAGAAGTCTCTGTCGAAACTGAAGCTCTACTGGTTTGAACTTATAGCAAAGGAAGAGAAAAGTACTTAAGCAGCTGGGATTTGAAACTTTACAACAGCAATAAATAGAATAATGATCGTTGATAAAGTCTCTTTATGTTCTAAGTGTAGTCTACTTGTGTGCCAAGTTATATTGAAATCAGACCAAAACTGTAGGAGGAGTAGCATTTTGAAACAATTTTACAGATATTTCTATTTTTAGTAACCACGGCAACACCGTCCATCGAAATCAAAAACCGATACACAGATTTATGTATTTTAGTGTAGTCTACTTGTGTGCCAAGTTATACTGAAATCAGACCAAAACTGTAGGAGGAGTAGCATTTTGAAAGAATTTCACAGAAATTTCTATTTTTAGTAACCACGGCAACACCGTTCATCGAAATCAAAAACTGATATACAGAATTATGTATCTTAGTGTATTCTACTTGTGTGCCAAGTTATACTGAAATCAGACCAAAACTGTAGGAGGAGTAGCATTTTGAAAGAATTTCACAGAAATTTCTATTTTTAGTAACCACAGCAACACTGTCCATCGAAATCAAAAACCGATACACAGAATTATGTATCTTAGTGTGTTCTACTTGTGTGCCAAGATATACTGAAATCAGACCAAAACTGTAGGAGGAGTAGCATTTTGAAAGAATTTCACAGAAATTTCTATTTTTAGTAACCACGGCAACGCCGTTCAAAGAAATCAAAAACCGATACACAGAATTATGTATCTTAGTGTAGTCTACTTGTGTGCCAAGTTATATTGAAATTAGACCAAAACTGTAGGAGGAGTAGCATTTTGAAAAATTGTTTACAGACAGACAGACAGACGGACAGACAGACGGACAGACGGACGGACGCCGGACGCATTACTATCGCATAAGCTCTTCTGGTCTCTGACCAGTAGAGCTAAAAATTGTACATGTGAGTACCTGCATGCTGTTATTTTTGTTTGTTTGGTTTCTTTGTTTTGTTAATCCAAAAGTTCAGATAAGCTTTTTTCTGATTAAAGAGAGTCTGTCATATGTTTATTCTTAATGAAGTACCCCCATTCTCTCTATACATGTATGTAATGGGGAGATGATTGGGAAAGAATGAAAATTTGGCATCATTATTTTTTTCTACTTAAAAAAACCCCACTTTAATAGCCATAAAAGGCAAAAGCTTCCTTATATAGTGTAGATTCAAGTTTGTTCAAATCCAAATTTGTTCAAAGCCTTGACCTTTTCAAAATAGTTGTCATTTATGTTCATACAAAAAAAAAAATCATGCAACATAAATCTTAATAAAATTGCAATTGCGTTGATTACCAAAAGTAATTATGATAGCATTGCATATACAATATAATTTAAAAATTCAAAGTTACCCAATCCTTGATAAAATCCCATGGTATTAATGTTTTTCCAAAAAGATCTATATCACTTGAAAAAATATCAATGAAAATTTACAAAGAAAAATCAATTTCCCAAAGCATGCAAAGGAAAAAAGTGTTGTGCACTAAAGCCATATTTCTGTTTTGAATATATACAGGTATGTGTACCCTCTCACTTGTACATGTCTGGTATATCAAATATGCAGATGATGTTCATTTACATGCCACACACATAAACAGTATCAAACAATTGAAAATATAACTGTCAAAATAACTTTTCTTTAAAATTTGTTAATAAACAACACACAGACCAAATCTGGTTTACAGTCCCAGCAACAGACAATGGCAGAACATTATCAAAAATATGGTACTCTTTACACCTTCTGATAGCTCTTTCTACATGAATTCTTAGTCTTGCTATTTGCTGAGTTTTAGTAACTTCATCCTTACTAAATTTAACTTTATTTCCTAAAAAAGGTGGAATAATCAAGTGTGCACCAACACTGTCAAGTAAATCTTGGATTAAAAAACCTTTGTCAACCACCACATCATCACCTTGTTCTAATAGATCAAGTATACCACTTCTTTGTGTTACATCTTTATCAGAAATATTGCCAGTAAATAATCTGCTAACAAAACATACAGCACCATGAGGGGTTATACCAATCAAGCCTTTAAAGGTAGTATGAGATTTGTAATTTGAATATGACTGAGAGTTAAGTACTTTGGCACTTGGAGTCTGCACACATATTTCTGTATAATCCAAAATAACTCGTGTATTGGGATAAGCAGTCTTAAAACATTCGGGTATATTCTGTTTAACAATATCTAAATCTGGCCATATGGGTAAACATCCCAAAATACAATACAAGTAATTACTCCAAGTAATAATAATACGACTAACAGTGCTTTGAGACACACAAAAACGTTGTGCTAAATCTTCTTCAAAAAAACCTTGTCTAATTCTACATAAAAACATAAAAAATTGATCTACAATTGACAAAGACTCTTCTCTAAAAGGATTACAAACAATGTTCTTATTTCTCTGAACTTGTGACCACCTGATCATATTTGAGGCTGTTGGCTCAACAACATTATATACAGCACAAAAAATATCATAAGTAGAAAAACCAGTGTAAAAATTTATCAAATTTGGATCTTTGGAAAATCTTTCAATTCCGAACTTCTCTACTTTCTTCTCAAGGTGCTGTACCCTTTCTTCTAGTTTAGAAATGTGTATCTTCATGGCCTGCAATATAGTACATGTATTACACAGTGATATATGCACATGGTTTATCTATTCCAAATTAATATCAACATTACCACAATATCAAAGAGACATTTTCTTCTTTTATTTAAATTTGTATGAGCAACTGAATACAGTATTAGTTACATGATGAAACATTAATTATATTATTGAATGCACATCATTGGATGTTTCTTTGATGGAACAGATGCTGCTAAAAAATCTGTACAGGTGGTTTGCTTTTAAACAGTGTTAACTGATAAGATTTCCATTGTGGTTTTCATAAAAAAGAGGCCCATGGGCCACATCACTCACCTGAGTAATTTGGTCCATTCTGTTCTTTGACAGTTTTCCCCCTTGTACTATCTATTGTGTAAAACTTGGATACCCTATTATTGTCCCATCCTATCCCCGGGGGTTAATTTAGAATCTACACTGCTCCAGCTGGATGCTTCCACATTTAAGTTTTAGCTTTTCTGACCTAATGGTTCTTGAGAAGATTTTTAAAAAAATTTTTCCTTCATATTTCAATGTAAAACTAGGATTCCCTATTGTGGCCCCACCCTACCCTGGGGGGTCATAATTTGATTAATTTAGAATCTACACTACCCCAGGATGCTTTCACATCAGTTTCAGCTTTTCTGGCCCAATGGTTCTTGGGAAGATTTATAAATGACCCCACCCTATTTTTGTCTTTTCTTGATTATCTCCCCTCAGAAGGAAATTTGGCCCTTCAAATTAAAAATTTTATTTTCCTTTGCCCAAGGATGCTTTGTACCAAGTTTTGTTAAAATTGGCCCTGTGGTTCATGAGAAGAAGTTGAAAATGTGAAAAGTTAACAGACAGACAGAGGGACGACGGACAACGGGTGATCAGAAAAGCTCACCTCAGTTTTCAGCTCAGGTGTGAGCTGAAGTCAACATGCACCCAAGATCAAAGGAACTACTACATGATCCGTGTATTACCTCAAGATCTTCTTCAGGAGATGGTGCTTGGCGACAATAGTCATGCTCTTCAGATGGCATATCTGTTGAAGTGTCAATGGCACATGTTGCAGTTGATGATGAATGTTGGTCTGTGTCTAACGAGATTGAGGATGATGTTTTCTGCTTCTTAATAATTGATGTTTCTTCTCTGAAAAGATCAATATGTATCATAATACATGTAAAATATTATACATAGCAATGTTTTATTTTGATACAGTAGAATTTTGAAAACTCAGCTATATGTTATTGGGACTTAAAAATCTTGCACATTCCTAAACCTTTATGATTCATTTGATCACAAAATGCAATACATTTTACAAGTCAGTGGTTGCATGCAAGCTTCACTACATACAAAAATGATAAAAGAAAAAGTTTGCGGTCAGACACAATATTGCATGTAGAAATAATTTTCATGACATGCTTTTCACTAACATTTACACATCCAGATAATACCATAATCCTTTGGTACCAGTACAGATTTATCTGGAGAAAAAGTGTCTAAATAAAACAATTCACTTATTTTAATCCAAGACTTCGCCCATATTATTGTGCCCCTTTCCATTTGGGATGATTTGAACTAACATATGAGATGATATGTTTAAGCAATGAATCATTATTTTTTGAAAGATATATAGTCTCGTAATTGCAACGGTGTGTGCAAACAAATTAAATGTCCCTGTAATGGTGTTTTAAATGCCTTAAATTTCCACACATTTTACATACAAAATACATGTTTGTAAATGTAAATTTCATATATATCTTTAAATTTACAGATTTTATTTCTTTTTTCTATGCATTCCCATTAAGTAAAACTTGAATCTATAGTACTTTATATCAATAAGGTTCATTTTTTGTGGCTCCTGTTTTTTTGAGAAGATTTTTTAAGGATCCCACAATTTTCATTGACTATTTCTTAATTATCTCCCCTTGGAAGTAAGAAACATAGACTGCATGCATGTGCCAAGTTTGGTTGAAACTAGCTCAGTGAAAGAAAATGTGAATATTATTTGTAATGACAACAAACACCAAAGACAGATAATAGATAAATTTGATCCCAGGCCTTTAG